GGTTGGCCGCCTGGGCTGTGAGCGCACATTGTCAAGTTCACTGCTGGCACCTTCCCGGGGCCGGACCCTGCCCTGCACGGGCACACGAGCCCAGAGAGCCCGCGGGAAGGGCTCTGCACCCTGCACACGCTTTCCCGCGAAAGCGCTGCCCCCTTCTAGCTCCCAGCAGAGGTTTGTATGCTTTGAAAATATTACACAGACATATCTTTTAGATGTAGGTTCAAGTTCAGAGTTGATCCCTTTCAGTTAAGCATCTAATTTGTAGATGAAATCACTCCAGCTCTGGAGCATAATTGAGTTTACTTCTACTATTAGATTTCTACTAGAGTAATACAGACACCTAAGGAGCTGCGTGATGTGGGCAGCCACTAAGCAAGGGTTTTTTTTCAGTCGAGGCAGGTATCAGCAATGAATAATGCCACATGGAAAGAAAAGAGTGCTTTTTTTCCCCCCTCAGGGGTTTTTCTTCACCTAAAAGCACAGACACGTACAACCGCCGTCTGTATAGTAATCTTACAACGACGAGAGAAAAAAAAAGCAAGACAGAAAGCACACCTGACATCTGTCCCCTTGTTAACCGAAACTTCTCATTACTCAGTTCCCTGCAGCCAGACCAAAGTTTCAGAGAGAAGTATTTGAAAACCTCCCTGAATGCCTCTCAAGTACATACATTCATTAACTCTCCTGAGTCTTTCCCTTCACCAAATTGCATTTTTGCATCATCAGGGATACGGGCATCTCTAGAGGCTGCGGATCAGCCTTCACGCTGTAAGGCAGAGGCAGGCTGCCACGCTCGGCGGCTGCTGCTGTTTCGCCGTCCTCTGTGCTCCTTGGATCGGTCCTTGTACGCCAAAAGATAGATGTGTGCAGGGCACGGGTAAATGAGCAACTCTGATTTTCAGCAGCTGGGGACGCCTCATCAGGAGGGTTTTTAAGGCCATCTCTATTCATTCACCTTTGCATTCTCATCCTGTATTTCTGCTCGTTTGTGCCTGTCGTCCACCACAGAGTGCCCAGTCTAGCCTCCCACCTTTCCAAAGGGAAAATCATGTTAACACCGAGCCGCATGGAAGCGGTCTGTTTTTAAGAAATGCGGACAGCCGTGCGAAAAGAGAAAAGGCAGGCACAGTGATTAGTTTAGTCCAAGCTCAGAAACCCAGAGCCTGATAAATTAAGCAGCCACACGTCCCAGAAAGAGGAGTTCTGCGTACAAGTGCAGGTGTTTTTCTCTCACCACAGAGCAGGTGCAGTTTTATTTATAAATACTCCTGTCCACCTTCTTGTAGAAAAAGACTTGTCAAGCAAATATTCAAGTTAACTGAAATAGAGAGGGGGTGCACAACTTTACTCACTTTTTGGTGATTCATTTGGATTCTCGTAGATCTGATGGCAGGCAATGCTCGGCTTCTCCACATAGTCACCTCTGGGTCACAATTTTCCATATTTGCTCTTGCACCAAAGATACGTTTTGCCGCAAAGACGCCTTTCCCAAATCTGTCCATGCCAATTTTCAGTTATCACCTCCCCTGGATCCAGGCCTGTATCAGAAAGAGCAACACAAATAAGTCGGTTTTGGTAAGTGAGACACAGCATTCATTTTATTTTTTAGCCACACCTTGCTGGCAATTCTCACTTTATACCAGCTGGCCACTCACATACAGCCTTCTCTGCCCATCAGGCTTTGTAATCTTGCAGCTTAATCCTACCATTTTTTTGTGTGAAGTCCATCCAGAGAAGTCTACAGCCAATTTCTACGTGGTTAAAATTCCAGGTCGCTTTTGCTAGCGTGACTTACAGAAACCCAGGCCTTCAGTGTGTCCCTGACGGCTTCCATCCAACTGCCCTCACAATGTAGCACCCTCATTTTTTTTAAAGTCTGCCCTTTCAAATTTTAGAGCCTTAAAAAAAGACCAGCTTCCACTTGGACTCTCATGGATTTTAATGGAATCGACATGTTGTCTCTCAATCCAAGTTAATTTCTAAGAGCTGAAAAGAAATAGCATGTACAGATAATTGAACTTCCTTCAGAACTTGCTGAAAAGGTCATCTGCTTCTGGTGAAGCTGGAGATGACCTCGAATGTGAATTAGTTTACCCAGTTATCAGGAACTGCTCAAGCTGAACCACACCGGTTCGCTGTAAGCATCAGTGGAATTGCCACTACCAATACGATAACCAGTGACCGCTGCAGATCTATTTTCATCTACCATTTTCTCTGCTTCTGAGCGATAAACAAGGAGAAAAGAAAGCTGTAGGACAGGCTGCTAGGGGATGGTGTGTTACCTGGAGATACCCCGTGCCCTGGTACAGCTGTTCTCTCCACTCCTCACCCAACGCAGCAAGGACACACAAAGACACAACCGTTTTGCCCCACGTCATCTGGTTTCCCGCCCAGCTTCTTGCCTGGAAAGGCAAGTTTGGCATGTCCAAGGACAACTGTAGGTACAGGACAAGTGAAAGGGGACTGTGACTACAAGGCTGGCTCCCTTTTCTTTTCAAATTCTCAATTATTCCTCCACTAGCTTCTGCCTCTCAGTGAGGTTCAAGTCTAGCTCCCCACTCAGCCCAAAATTTAAGCCCGGGGTGATGGTTTGCTAGCCCTTTGCCAGACTGCCACAGTTCTTTAGCGCCTGCTTCCCCACATAATTTTTTGGTAATTTAAAATGTCATACAGTAGAAAGGGGATAGTCCATAAAAGTAACAGTCCATAAAACAAACCTTCCTTTAATGAGTTTGTAATCTAGATAGAAATCCTCACAGACGTGCAGGTGGCTGAACGGGACTAAAAATAGCTCTCGTGCCACCATATGCAGACCAAAGGGACTGTATGCAGCCGTGCAGATTTAGAAACCGAAGTTCAGATATGCTGAGCATCCGCAGTCAGGAAAACCCACCACAAGCAACAGAATCACACAGAATATAGTTCTGTTCTGTCTCTTCCTTTGGGTTTGAAAATGCTCATGGATGCCTCTGCTCAGATTTCACCAGTGCTCTATTTTTCTCAGTGCAGCTTTGCAAAAGACCAGAACCGGCACCTTTTGCATGTGCTTTATTCTGCTGCCTATATCCTGCCTTCTTGGGTATTTCTAAAAAAACCTCTTGTTTTGTTACAAAAAAGGTGACTGAAACAAATAGCACTTTAGACAGACACCCCTACTGCCCCATGGTTAGCCAGGCTTACTTTAACCTTTTGCAAAAGATGGGTCACAGAGAATATCTTGCTGCTGCTTCAGAAGAGTGTGCCACTCAAAACTCTACTGGCAGTACTTTCTGGGGAGCGGGAAAGGAAACGAAACCAAATTTTGCTCTCCTGAAGATGGAGAAAACATGGTTTTTAAAGAAGAATTGTGGCAGAACCTGACTCCATGCTAGGAGCTGGGCTTGCACCCATCATCCCCCCCCCACCTGCTAGGGGAAACCTTGCGCATGAGCGCTGCTGATGCAACACAAAAGCTTGTTGCATCATACGACTGCCAGATGAGACGTTTGTGCTATGAGAAAAAGCTCAGGACACAGATTCCGGGATCCTTGAAGAGCTCTAGGGTTAGGGCCGCAACCAGCAAGGAAGGGAGGCACAGACTGTAAGGTGAGAGGCTGCCTGGCAGCATGGCCTATGACTTTAGCCTCTTCGAGAGCACGGCAAGAGCGACCAACCCTGGGGAGCCAAGGGCGGCGCTGGCTGTGTGAAAAGCCTCCGTCTGGGCTGCTGCTCTGCTGCGTAAGGAAAAGCTGGAGAACACAAGGAGGTTTACCGCGTGCTGCTCATGTTAACGGCGAGAAACGTACGTTGGAGGGAGCAGAAATTCAGGAAACGCTGATGCATTAACCCTGGCTAAGAATGGGCCTGCCAGCATTGTACTTTGCTCTGCTTCTCTTCCTGTCCCCCATGTCGGCGTTTAGAGGCCCTCGCTAAGGCTGGGCTTCCCTTAAGAAGGGGCCTTTTCTGTGCAAGACGTACATACGCTGCAGAGACAGCTCTGGTCATTGCAGGTTACATTGCGATGTTTGTTTTTTGGAGTTACACAGGTGATCCCAAATCTGGGAGAAAAAAACCCAAGGTCTCCTCCGGCACTCCCCTCCTGCAGGAGGAGTGTGCTGGCCCAGGTACCTCAGAGAGTTTGCAGGGGGCTTGAGTCCGAGCCTTTGATAAACCACAAATCCCATGGAGTCCCTTTTCCATTCATAAGGAAAGAAACTCCATGCAGCGCGCAGAGCTGGAGGAAGGGCTCAGCTTTGCCAGAGACCTGCTGTTGCTTTACACCTCTTTTACCTCTCCCCTCTCTCATCTGCTTTGACTGCAAGTTCTTTGGGGGCACATCGAGCCCTTAATACAGGTTTGCACAGAAACTGATGCAAACACGTTTCTGATCTTGAAGGCTGAAGTGTTTTTATAATATGAGTCAAGTGAGCTTTAAGTCTGACTTCTCAAAACTAAGAGCCAGAGCTGTGGCCCCTTGGGTGTCTGGACACTTTCTTACCTGACACTCCTCGCCCTGAGGTGGGTGAGCGCCGCTAGCCCCGGTGGCAAGATTTCCCCTCAGGACCAGGGTGGGTTTGCACTCCCTTGCACTCAGCAGCTTCGTTGCTTGTTGGTGAGGAACAGAATAAAAATGCACAGTAATAGTGCAACCCCTGCCCCCCCTTCACCTTTGAAAGCCAGAGGTCTTTGTGCATTAAACATGCCTGGTTTCAGTCCCCAGCCACATTTTCCACGGTGTCAGTGCCAGCTGGCTGGGCTGTTTATTTTAGGAAACAAATAGCTGTATCATTTGCACACGCCCTTATAGGCAGACACAGGCTCTCCACTCGCGTTCTTCAAAAGAAGGGAAGGCAAGATGAAGAGCTCTTTGTTGCTCTGCGTGGCCTTGGCCATCTCCTTGGGGTTCGTCCTTGTGGCAGGTAGGTGAGAAACGAAGAACATGGAAACTGCGCTTAAGATATCAGTGATGGGTTTTGTGTAATTGGCCGTTATTAATTCTACCAGTCAAAAATCAGTCGTCCATGCCTGCTCAAGCAGCCATGCTTCAGCGGCGCTCGGACACCTCAGTGTCTTTCTGCACCAGAGCTATGTGTTTTTAATTGCTGTCTTGAGGCTAAATAAGTGATGATTAGCTGCAAATTTAAGACTTTATGATTAGCCATCTTTGATCGGGTTTCTGAAGCAACAAACCGCGAACATGCACGCTTGCTTTTCAGCGGTGCTAGGAAGCTTGGCAAGACTCCTACCTGCTAGATTTAAAGGCTTCTATAATCTTCCTGGTAATCCTGTCATGTGGCTACGGTCAATTTATTTGCAATTAAACTGTAGTTTATCACACGACTCCACTAAATGTCTCGGGGACTCTTGATTTAGACTGAGATCAGACTAAATGAGCACACTCCTCATGGTGGTTCACACGTGATAGATACTGACTACATTAATGCCAGATCTCGATACAACAGTCTAAAGTTACCTTCATTCACACGGTGTATCTGGTCCGCAGGATTGATTGGTGCTCAAGGATAACCATCCCAACAGCACCCACAGCAGCGTCCCTGCCTTCCCTCCAACTTTTGGGAGAGGGAATCTTCTTGTCGACCCAGGCAGGTCCTTGGAAATTATTGCTTCTGATGACAAGTGACCAGCTGTATAATCTATTAGCTGAAAAGGCAGAAAAGACTGAAAAGTACTGTGTTGGTCCAACACAGATCGCAGGCTGTTTTTAGCCATTCATACATATGACTTACACACACACATAAGCAGCTTAGAGGAGAAGTTAAATTAGAGTTACAGGAGTGCTGTTTGTACTATTTATGTTGATATTGTTCTATTTTGGGGCCAATTGAACCTCTTCCTACTTCAATAAAGTAGCCATTTGGACCTGCAGCATAGTTTGAATAGATATTTTTGGAGTACATAGTGATGCTGCATCTGGATTCTGCTGGGCATCACAGCATGTTACAGGATGATCCAATGTTGGAATGTGACAAATTTTGTCAAAAGAAAAAAATCTCCTCATGAGTTTTGAGGAGGAAAGGAGGGAATACCGTACTGCAGTAAACCACGCACCAGAAAATCCAACCTGCAAACATTTAGAAGGGCATTTGGAAATTTTGTATTTAACTACCATCTGCACAAAGGGACTTTACAGGGTGATACATGGAAGTATTGCTGATCAAACTGTCTCGTTTGGAGCTTTGTAATTGTACTTTAAAAAAAATACGGAGTACCAGTAACGTTTATGGTGTCTGAAGCCAAGCGTATTACACCAGGAATTAAATCAGTACAATATTTTTAGAATACTGTAAAACAAAATCCTGCATAGTCATAAAAAAGTATGTTAATATAATTTTAGAAGAGGAATTAAAGCCTGCTCCCAAAGGTTTTGGGACAACTCTCAAAGCCAATAGGATCAGACTTGAATATTGGCTTTGGATTAAGGGCTTAGAAAGAACTGCACACGACGTTACATAGAATACAGTGACAGAGAGCAGAAGATCTATGTGAAGGACAAGCAGCTAGAGACTCTCTCTAAAAGAAAAGAAAGGCTAGGACTCAAAGAGACAGAGACTGAAGAGGCTTTCGTAGTAAGCTTCTGCTTCAGAGGGAAATGTTCATGTTGAGTGGTGAGTTGGGACAGTGGAAGCATGCAGACCAACAGAGATTGGCACAACTTGTACAGAGAGACAAGCACCATTAAACTCTAAATAATGACCATCTCCATGTCAGATATGATTATGTATTTCTGCTTTGGTGGGGCACACTGCAGTCACAAGTATGACTGGTCTTACACTACGCACACATTTTGCAGCAGCAATTTTACAGGTGGCCAATTGCACTGGATGCTGTAAGGAGAAACACTAAAAGCCAGCCCTTGCTCTAAAGGGCTCAATGGGCATATGGTATAGTGCAACATACTGTAGAGGGATGAAGAAAATCGTGAGAGCGGTAGAAAGGGCAGTATCTCCTACACGCCTGTAGTGGCTTTCTCCAGTGCCCAAAGTAAGGGAGCAAACTAATTTCCTTCCTGATTGAGAAGCTCCTCACAGAATCTTCTTCAGAAGGTATTCTGCTGCCAATTATCACAGAAACAGCGTTTGTACCCAGCAGGTGAATTGTAGGGTCACTCTGAGGCATCATTTTTGGTTCCTGTTTCACAGCCTGTAAGGAAAAGTAACCCAGTGGAATGGAAGCAGATGAGACCACCATCTTGTAGGGGCAGGAAGGAATCTCCAAGAAGCCTTAGGTAGAAAACCTGGAATGGTATTTGCATGCATGGACTAGATACCTGGGGGCTCTGCCAATCGATATCGCAGAGGACCTGACCGTGTTGGGTCTTGTAGTGCTTCAGGTGACAGCTGAGCTGCTACCAATAGCGGCTAACAATCAGAAAACTTACGGTCCAACTCAGAGTCCATGTGCTGCTCCCTGATCCCAGCTTTGCTGTTGCTCCCACCAGCTTTCAGCACTATCCCTTTCACCCTATAGCAACAGGAGCTGTTGATCATAAAACCCAGCAGTTCTGGACACGGAGATAAAGAAAACAGACAAGAGCTTGTGCAATATGTGTCTGCTTCGTTACTGGTCCATGCTTTGATAACTCAAACAAACCTGGCTATTACAACCAAAGCTTTTGAGTCAAAATGACTGTGAAATCCTCCAGAGACACGATGAACACAAACGCTTTTAGCCTCTTTCTTCCTTCCCTCCACAGGGAAGGAAGAAACCAAGGGACAAGCCGAGTAGGTGAGTCCACAGAAGTGAGGTCCATCTCAGCACAGTATAAACTATCCCTATCTTACAAAAACCACTGGCTTTGGTACTTCTAAGCAGGTTCAAGGTGCTGTAGGAGGAGTGATGCTGCAAACTGATGGCTGTGAACTTGGTTTTAGGAGCATTTAGAAATACAGAGGGGTATTAAAACCTACCACTTAAGAAGGGTATGACTGTCTGTAGGTAAAAGCAAGACTGGCTTGTTATGGCTGAAGAGACCAGAGGCTCTGGGTTGGGGAAAACCAAGTAGCAAATAACAAGCTATTTCAAATCTATCTACTTGCACAGTGAGGAGGCACTGCATGCCACCCAGAACACTCAAAAAGCCTCCGAGTGACAGATGGGATGTTTTACCCTGTTTTGACCAAGTTTCATATTGAATAGCATGCTATAAGTGCAGGAGATATGCCCAAGCTGTTTCTACTTTATTTGAGTAAGAAAATCAGGACTGGAGTTTTCCCTGCCAACCACAAGCATCAGAAGGGCTACTTGGCATTCACTACCAGGTCAGCAGGCTGCCTTCTCCCGGGGTCCTGTGGTGCTTTTTGGCATCTGTTCCCTCAGGGACCTGAAGGATAGCATAGCACTCAGGGAAAACTGACACATCTGCCACATTGGCAAAGTCAGAGACATTTATTCGGAGGCCAGATCCAAACTAGGATTTGGACTGCTAGACTAGTCCCGGTGCATGACAGAGGAATCGGGTAACATACCCCGCTAGGGTAAAAACAGTACTTCAGCTGCCAGATATAGCTTGAGCCTTGCAAGGGGACTGCCTTCCCATTTCATGAGAAACCCCTGAATATTTGCCCCTCAGCAGCCACACGGTGTCCGGGTTGATAATTTTCTCCTTCCCAGACCTAACACGTCCACATACAGAAGCATACTGTAGACTGAGCAGGAAAGACCACTCAACTCCTCCTTGCCCAGATACTCACTTGTACCTCTTGCAACCTAGACTTGAATCCATCCAGATGCCATAATGGTGCCTTTCTGGCGTTCTCATCACTTGGCTTTCTGCTAGAGCAGGTTTCCAAGTTTTTCTTCTTGACCCTGAGAGAGCATATCCTGTGCTTGCAGGTTATCCATGGGACTCTGACAATGAGGAGCACGTGCTGGTCAATAATAAGTGTCAGTGTGTAACAGTGACCTCAAAGTTCGTCCCATCCAAAGAAAATCCCGGTGAAGAGATCCTGGAGAGAAACATACGCATCCTGTAAGTGGCAGACAAGTATTGCATGGAGGTGGTGAACAGGAGATGAAGCCTAGTATGGCTTTGCCCTTTCTTTGCAAATTTGCCTTTCTTTGCCCTTTCCCAAATCCTGGCTTTGATCAAGTGAGCTGTTTTTCTATGGTATCCTGGAATATTTGCTTTTGCTTTGTGTTTTTCTAGCTCACATGAACCTATTTGGTATTTGTCCCATTCAGATACAAAAAGCATCTCCATGTTTTAAGCAGGCCAGTAGTAAATTTACAAATTAGGCTGGGGAAGTAGAGTGTAACTATTCTACAGGTCGTCTAATCTGAAACAAAAACAGGCCCATGATACTGTGATAAGAAGCCTGCTATTTTATAGGCTGGGACAACTAGTTGATGCCTAAACTATCAGAAAAGGTTAATCCTGTGAGACACATGTCAGTTCAAGAGTAGGATGTTGTCCTCTTTATCCACACAAACCATACAAAAGTATGTGTGGCTCTTGGAAACATGGACCAAATTCAGTCTCAGAGCTGCAGGAGTTCTGGTAGAGCTCACAACAGGAGAAACACTAATTAAACATCTCAGTCCATGTCCTGCAGGTGTCTCGGGCATCTGCCAGCTCTGAGTTCAAAAGAAAAAAAGAAAAAAGGGTTATCAGCACCGTCATCTTGAAAGTGGCACTTTCAGAAATTGCTGCAGTCCTCTTGAGGAGGGCTGTTGCCTTTGAGGACACAGAAGGGCCAAGTTGTGCCATTCCTGGGCTTTCCTATGGAGAAGAGTCAGAATGGAAATATGAAGAACAAGATGAAAGTTGAGAATTGTTCACACAGCAGAGTAGTCCCCTGTTTAATAAGCAGTTTTCATGAGAGCGATTCTCCTTCCTCCTTTGCAGGGTCCCCCTGAAGGCTCGAGAGAATATCTCTGACCCCATGTCCCCACTCAGAACCACTTTTGTCTACCGTATGACTGAACTGTAAGTAATTTTGTTTACTAAAATAATTTCCTAGGACTTAACCGCCCCTGCAGCATTGCCCACAGCAGCTCAAACACGTGCTTGAAGGCCAGTGGAGAAAGTGAGGCAGGGTCACAGAAGAAAGTTTTCTCCATGGAGCTCAGCTTTCATATTCTGTCGCAAGTCAAGAAATTGTTAGCTCTATGATTAATTCACATAAAAAGGTCTCACATTTACAGGAAATGTTTCATTCTGACCCCTGTTCATCTCAAATGTCTTAAATATCAGCAAAATACACCTTGCCTGTTTAACCTTCCCTTTCAGGGACCAGTCTTGCCAATAGCAGTTTGGCAACACTAAAAACATCTGCCTGGGAGTTCCTGTGTAATACCTAGAAAGACTGCAGTACCCTCCTAGCTACGTGTGCGCAGACCAGCAAGGAAGATTTGGGTTTCAGCA